AGAGAGAGAGAGAGAGAGAGAGAGTGTGTGTGTGTGTGTGTGTGTGTGTGTGTGTGTGTGTGTGTGTGTAGGCGGGGAAGAGGGGTGATTCTTAAAGGGCCACCGCACAATTAGCCCCCTTGGCAAAGCCCCTAATGATACACCTAATTAGCAGCCCCCTAATTAGCAACAACTTAGGCATAATTACAAACCCACCAGGATCCAAAGCAAAGATTCGAGCTCTCTTCCCCTCTCCCTCTTCCTCAGCTTTCAGGAGAAGCCAGGGCCACCTGGGAGTCAAGAATTCACCCACATCAACTTACTCCTTCTTTCTCGAAAAAGGACCATGGCCTGGGAAGTCCTCTCTCAAGTCCAACCCCTGTCCCCCCTGCCTCAGTCCTAAAGGGAGACAAGGGTCAGCCAGTGGGTGTCCTGAGGCTCGCCCCCCTTGCCCTGGCACTAGGCAAAGCAGCCTGGTTCAATGCCTTTTCCTGCAAAACTTGCTTTCCTCCTGCTGAGGCTTGAGGGAGGTGGGGTCAGAGAGAGCAAGCATTAGATAAATATTTGTGAAATGAAAGACCAAGAGGTCTGAGCCCTGTCACTGGGGACAGCTGGGTCCCCTCTGCTGGAGGCCCCTGCCTCTGCCTCTCTCACTCCACCAGCAGCCCTGGAACCTAATCTGGGTTTAGAATCCAGGGGCAAAAGGATCAGGTTGAGGCCAGGGTGGACTCTGGAGGGCAGATGGTGGGCACTGTCCCCTGGGGTCATCTCTCCCCAGCCTCGCGGGCCAGTGGCCAGTTAGGCCAGTTGGGGGAATACCCTAGGTCTTCCTCACACACCCTTCAGAGACCCACTGGTAGAGTGGGACCCCAAGCCTGAGCAGGGGGTGGGGGTGGCCAGTCTGGTAGGCCAGATGGAACCCCTCCTTCATGCCCCTCCCACTGGTGAGAGGGAAGCCGCTTCCTGACTGTGTTCACAGCAGGGGCAGGGGGTGCCTGCTGTCTGCCCCTCCGTGGGGAAACAGCCTTCTCACACGCACGGTGACAGCCCCAGGGTAAGCCAGGCTCTCCCACCAGCACACAGTGTCCCAGCCTGGGGAATTCCACACACACACACACACACACACACACTCGCACACAGTCCCAGGGTTCAGGCTATGATACGCCAATGGGTAAACTGAGGTCCAGAGGGGGAAATAGCCTGGCCAAGTCTCACAGCTTCAAGTCAGGGGCAGAGAGAGTGCATGCTCATTTTATCTCACCTGGAGCCCCAAGTGGGCACTTGAGGACCTCACCCTATCACAAGCTCAGCCCCACACCTCTCCCCTTGTCACTCATCTTGTCCGCGTTGTCTGGGGTCCCCTTCCCCACAGGAAAGAAGAGAACGTATTGGCCAGGGACCTCTAGACTCAGAAGGGCCCTCTTGGAGCCCCCAAGGGGTGGTGGAGAAGCTTCTATGATCTATTCCTACTGAGAGACAAGTCTGAGGCTGGCACACTATGAGAGAGATGGTGGCGAGACTGCAGGAAGGACTGGCCTGGTCAGACCTGGCTATCTAGAGCTGTGCCTGGAACAGGAACAGTGCTCAGTAATTGCCAAAAGAATGAATGAGTCAGGAAATGGACAAATGGCAAAAGAGGTATGAAAGTTAGACTGCAGGAAGGACTGGTCCTGTTGATATGAACCAGGACTCGGGAGACTGGATGGAAGACAGGACTGGTTGTCTCCACTACAAAGTGTACAGGTTAGACTGCAAAAAGGACTGGACTCTGAATGCCAGAAACAAGGCAAGGGAGAGCAGAGGAGCTCTGTCCTCAGGGGAGGGATGGGCGGATGCCAGCTGGGAGGATGGGGGGAGCTCGGCTGAAGAAGGGAGAGGAGTTTGGGGGACTCCATGCCTTCTAGGGGAGCCCACTCTGAGGGGGGGATCTTCCTCAGGTCTCCTCCGGCCAGGGGCAGAGACGAAGGTGTGTAGGATGAGAGTTAATCCACTACCAGGGAGAGGAAGAGAAGAGGAGAGCGAGAGAAACAGAGACCAGGTGCCTAGAGACGGAGATGGAGATGAGAGAAACGGGTAAGGGAGAGGAAGACACACGCGGAGATGGGAAGAGAGAGAGACACAGGAAAGCTGAGACCATAGTGAGAGACACAGACAGAGAGAAACACATAGAGATGGCAAAAGAGGAAGACAGAAAGAACCCAAAGACTTAGAGAGAGAGAGCTCCAGAAAGACTCAGAACAAACCCAGGCACAGAGATAGAGAGACAGAGAGACAGAGTGAGAGACCGATGGAGACAGGGAAAGGGACTCAGAGAGGCGGACAGACCCCGCAGGACAGAGACCCCTGAGAGATGTGGAGACACAGAAAGATGAGACTCAGACACAGGAAGGCGGGGACGGAGGCAGAGAACGCAGTGGGGGTGGGTACTGCCCCAGACGGGGTGGGGTGTCCTCACCCCCTCAGTGCCCAGGAGGCATCCCCTCCCCAGCCCACTGTGCTCCCTGAAATGCAGGAGGCTTTGAGGATGTTGGCTGCTGGTGGCACCCCCCACTCCATGTTAGGGCACTGGTACCTGGGCCCAGGATGTGCAGCCCCCCCCCGTGTCCCCCATAACCGAGCTTAGGGAGAAGCGGCTCCTGGCTTCTCAAATGCCACCCCCCCGCACCCCACCTGGTGTAGCACCATCCTTCCCCCAAGCTCCCCCTCATTGGGAATCGCTTACCTGCAGCTACAGCCTAGAGAAGGTTTCCCCAGTACTGGGCTGGCAGTGGTGGGCGACTCCGCCCGACAGAGAGAGGGAGAGAGAGAGAGAGAGAGATGAGCTGGAGACAGAGGGAGAGCTAGGGAGAGGGGAGGGAGAGGGGATAGAGGGAGGAGAGGAGAAGCGAGGAGGAGGTGGGGAGGGACGACGGGGGAGGGGAGGTCGGCTAGAGGGGGAGGAGGAAAGGACGGGGGAGAGCTCCGGGAGGGAGGAGGAGGAGCTGGAGAGAGACGGGGGAGGAGGAGGCGGGGAGAGGGGAGGCCGGCGCGGGAGGCAGGGAGGGGCCTGGAGAGAGGAGGGGCAGGAGGAGGTGGGGGATGAGGCAGCCCAAACCTCCCACCCACCCTCTGTGTTCAGCACCACAGGCAAGGGACAGCGGCAGAGGGCAGAGTGTGTGTGTTTGTGTGTGTGTGTGTGTTGAGGGGTGGGCTGTGGGGGTCATTCAGACGCAAACCCCACACACTACCCCCCTAAACACACATACTGCCTCTGATCCATACAAGGGCCAAAGAGGCAAAACAGCTACAAATAGTTCCAGGCTCCCAGAACCTGGGAGGGGGGAGGGCAAGAATGTTTTTAGCTAGAGTCTTATCCAAATTCACATGCTGCGCTGGCAGACATAACCCCACAAAACCAGCCAGAAACAACCACAAAGGCACTCCTTAATAATAATGACAAGTTGCCATTCATATGGCCCTTACCATGTACCAGGCACTGTTCCAACATTTTTAAAAGCGCTTGGCATACATCGACAGAACTGACCCTCCTAAAAGCCCCATGAGGTAGGTGCTTTAAGCCCCATTTTACAGGTGGGGAAACTGATGCCCAGAGTGGTGAAGTGTGGCTTCGGGTTCTCCACCCTTAACTGCTACACCACACGCTGTCCCAGATCGAGGGGCTGGCAGGAAGTCAGGAAGTGAGCTGCGAAGGACCAGGCGGGCGCCAAATATACAAACTCATGAGCCCCATGTGGACACATGCACACACACGCACACGCACACACTCCACAGACCCACATCATCACGAACTAAACACCCCGACTCCCACCTGAGACTCCCACTCACACCCAGGACAGCAGGTGGCGGAATACTCCGCCTCTGCAGATTGGTGCTGGGAGGGAGACCTGCTCGTGCCAATGGCCTGTGCCCACTGCCAGTTCAGGCTGGACACCCTCGGGCCCACTGCCAGGAGAGGAGGCAGACAACCTAGTGCCAGCTCCCTGAGACTTCCCACGCTTGGGCTTGGGTTCTGGGGGTGAGATGAAGAAGGGGTGGCCAGGAACTGGTGGGCTTCTGCCTCCTGAAAACCCACTGTGGGGCACTGGTAGTCTGGTCTTCACGGTCGGTGCAGATGGTCAGGCTGATAGGTGGACTTCCACAGGAGGAGGCAGACAGATGGTCTGATTGACTGTGGTGCCCGCCCGTCCCTCCCAGGAACCAGGAGTCCTACCCAACCCTTGCCCCGGGAAGGAAGCAGCCCACCCTCCCCACCAGCCTGGACCCCGCTCAGGAATGACTCCCCCACCCGCCTGGCCCAGATTCTATTCCTGGCAAGATTTCTTCTGTCTTCCCCGCCCTCCACTGGTCCCTAAGATGTAAGCCTCTGACTCCTTCCACAGGCGGGGCAACTCCTACAGCCACAGGCCAGGGAAATCAGCCTTGTCTCCAACTCCCTGGTTCCCCAACCCCTGGGCTTTTCACTGAGCTCTAACTGGGTCCTTCCCAGTGTGGTATATCCAGGGACCTATGGCCTGGGTGTCGTCTCAGTACTCCCCAGATGGGAACTAAACTCAGTCACTTTCTGTGGGGCTCTAACCTTGGCCCTCAGCACAAGGTCTCATCTTAGTCATGTTTGCTACGGTCCAACTCCAGCACTATTCTTAGGTGGTCGAGCCTCAGACGCTCTACTCCAATTTGACCGCGGGGTCCCCGCAGCAGTTCTTTATACCCACGTGCTTTCTTCTGAGGCTCAATTTCCTTGCCTTCCCACTGCTCCCTGACCTCAGAACCAGAGCTTTCTGCTGGGGTCCAACCCCAGTTCACTCACAGAGGTCTAACCCTACAGACCCCGCCCTTACGGTCTACAGTCTTTTCCCAGGTGGCTCAACTTCAGCCTTTCTGCAGGGCCTCCCCTCCTCTTCTCTGAAATCTACATTATGCTCTTATGTCAGTCCTGCTTCTGAGTCTGACCTGGGATTCTCTCTCCCCGGATTCCCCTCCCTCCATTCTCCAAGGCGAGTCCAGCTCCCAACACAGAGCCTGGCACGCGGCAGCCCCTCATCAAACACCCAGGGAACGAAAGAATGAAGACAAGGGCAAGTTCAGCTCTGCTGGACACAGAAAGAATCATTGGTTGACCAGTTTTCATCAGGGGCAAAAGGGGGGTTGGGTGAGATCATCCCATTTTCAAATGGGGGTGATGAGGCAGAGAGGGGAGCACTGTGGTCACAGGGCACCCCAGGGTGGAACTCGAGCAGGGCTCACAGCTCCACCACCCTAGGGTCTGGGGGACCATCTCCTTCAGGATGCTTCCCTTGCCATGGAGGGCTGGAGGTGAGCCTTGCAATAGTTGTCGCAGGCCTGGGGTGGGCAGTGGGTGGGCGCTCAGGAAGTGGGGGTCTCAGCAGACCCTGGACCTGCCCTGTCTCCCAGCCTTTTCTGCTCCACTTGATGCCGAAGCCGGGTCAGGACCAGCTCCGAGGCCTGGATCAGGCTGTGCTGTGGGGAAGAAGAGGAGGAGGAGGGCAGGGCTGAGACAGAGCTGGAGGGCTGTGTGTTAGACACCCCAAGGGCTGGGAGCTCGGAGAGAGGACCACTGTGTGTGTGTGGCGGGGAACGGCTATTGATGACAGGGTGAAGATCAGACCCAGGGGATGGCCTTCAATGACTTTCCAGTGCGTGGGACAAAGCCTAGCCCCAGATGTGCAGGTCTGAGGTTGGAACTCGGTTGTAGGGGATGAGGCTGGATGAAGACAAAAGAGCTCGCATGATACAGGAGTGAGGTGTGACCTTGGAGGGAGGCTCAGGTGAGACCACAGCATGGGAGACAAAAGGTGAGACCCTGGCAGAAAAGGACAGGCCAACAGGACAGAGAAGGAGCAAACCCAAGTGGAAAAGAGACATATCGCCACAGGGCAGACAGAACTAGACTCTGGTTGGAGGGTCTGAGGTTAGACCCTAACAGAAGGGACAGAGAGGAGATTACAGTGAATTGGCTTAAAACAGACCACATGAGAGATGCTGGGATGCTGAGACCACGGGAGAATGGAAGCCCTTTCTCCCACGGCTGGACCGCAGCCTCTTCCACTGGGTCTAACCTCTGTTTTACTTGGGGCTCCCATCTTTGTCACATGAACTGGGGTCCAACCTCTGTCTTCATGAGGTCTAACCCGGGCCATCCCACAGAAGACCTGACTGTAGAAAAAGACCCAAGCAGAGACCGCAAAGGACACAGTAAGGTTAGACTCCAGTAGGAAGATCCCAGGTTAGACCACACGAGGAAGAATCCAGGAGTCAGGCCAGAGGGATGGGGAAGGCAAACACTAGATTGAGTAACAAAGGGACACCATGGCCAGAGGGGGCGGGGGGGTATAGGGAAAAGGTCAGAGGTCAGATGGTATTATTTGGAGGTTAAACAGCAAAGGAGGGGGGAGGTATAGCTCAGTGGTAGAGCACGTGCTTAGCATGCCCAAGGTTCTGAGTTCAATCCCCAGTACCTCCATTAAATCAATCAGTCAGTCAATCAGTCAACCTAATTGCCACCCCCCTAATCTAAAAATAAATAAATAAAAATAAAGTACATCTCTTAAAAAACCAGCAATGGAGGGTTCCAGGTTGGACCTTGGACCACTGGAAAGGTTGGGTATTATTTCATAACAGGGGTGATGGTCGTTACACTGCTGTGGGAGGGTCAGAGGTCAAAGTACAGGAGAAGGCTGGACATTAGACCACTGTTCAAGGGCATGAGCACAATGGGAAGTTCAGAGGTTAGACTACAGCAGAGAGCTGGAGACTGGCTGGAGGTTAGACCACAGGCAGAGGGAGGGGGGAGGCTGCGGAAGGAGGGCACGTCCACGCCTGACCTGGAGGGTGGAGTGGTGGAAGGGTGAAGGTGGAGGTCAGGTCACGGGGGCAGAACCAGGCGAGGACCCAGGGAAGGGAAAGGGTCAGACAAAGCAGGAGGAACAAGGACAGACTTTCAGGAGGCTGAGGGAGGCCAGGGGGCCTGGGGGTGACAGATGTCACACCGGAGTCCCCTTCACCAGGCTAGTGCTGCATCCCCTGCTATGAATGCCCCTAGCTACTCCTTCTTGACCTACAGGGACCACCTCCCAGAAATAGATCACCTCTTCCCCTAGGAATGGGCTGGCAGCCAACAACCCCTTCGGCTGCAGGTTGGCTCAGGCTCCAGGGCTCCTTGGGGGACTGGGCTGAGGTCTGCTGGATCCATCCCGGGGGTGGCTTCTCCCCTCTCCCTGATATGTTGCCTGAGAGCACGCCCTCAAAAAGCCAGGCACTCACTCCCCACCTCAGGGGACCCCGGTTACCTGCAGGATGTGCACGCCCTTCAGGGAGACCACGGCAAGCTCCCGCAGCCCATCCCCGGTCAGGTCCACGTGTGCCATGGCCAGCAGGGGGCTGGAGAAGCTCCGTTGCCACAGCAGGCGGAAGCCAGGCTCAGCCCCGGGGAGCCCGTGCTCTGCGCCGCAGTACTTGTAACAGAGCAGCTCCTGTGGGGGCGAGGGGTTAGGGTCACATGGGGAGGAGGGGGAGAGTGGAGAGGGCGGGTGACAGTGGCCCCATCCCTCAGGTCTCACCTGTCCGTAGGTGGCCACCAGGACTTCCGGATGCCCATCCAAATCGATGTCAGTGACCAGGCCACAGAGGATGCTGTCAAACTGGTCACTGCCAGGCAGGAGGAGCTGGTCCTCGAGGCCCCGGCTCAGCAGGTCCCTGAGGATCAGATGGCAGCGGGGAGGCTGAGGTCAGACTGCCTCATCTACTATGCTTAGGCCCGGACCCTCACCAGGCTCCCCGGCTCAGTACTGGACACACTGTTCCTCTTGAAGCCTGGACATCCTTGTCTCCAAGCGGGGCACCCTCATAGCCACATCTCTGATTTGGACACCCGCACTGTTCCCTGGAGGTAGGAACATCTCACTCCCAAATGGAAACCCACACTGTTTCTTCTGGGAACCCCTGGTCTCCAGTCTGGACACCCACACAGTGTCGAGAGCTCGGCCCCAGCCCAGACACTTCACTGCCCACGAGGTGTGCACAGCTGGCTTGAATTGGCTCTTGGGAGCTGAGAGGAATTTTTCAGAAATTTTGCCAGTGGGTTGGCATCACATCAGTGGCTCAAAATCTGCTGTGGTGGGAAGACTGACACCATGGAAATCAGCAGACACCATAAACCAGCGCTTTCTCCTACATGGAGCCAGGGGTTAAACATCTGCCTATATGCTTTGTCCGTCTGGCCCAGGGGGAGTAGTTCCCACCCCAAGGCCTCAGCAAATCCCCTACAGGTTCTAGACTTAAACACTGGTGCTCCCCTCCTGGATACGTGAACACCTTTACCTGCCCAGCCCTGAACCACCTCACCCAAAGGTTTACTGTCTGCAGAGAATGACAAGGTTCAGCCACAGCACAAAGGCCAGAGGGCAGCCCGCACCCATGCGTGCAGGCCCCTCACCGGTACACCACCGCTGGCTCCAACATGCTGGCCACCAGCACGCTGTACTCCTCCCGCTGGGGCCTGTCCTCCGTCTCTGGAGAAGGAACATGAATCAGGGGAGGGGGTGGGTGTGAGGGGACAACTTCCAGGCTCCTCCGCCTCCCCACCCCCAGTACCTGAGAGGAATACAGGGGGATCTCAGTAGAGACTTGAGGTGGGGATACAGAGGGAGGGTCGGAGGTTAGGCCATGAGGGATTGATTGAGGTCAGACCCCTGTTTCTCCTCCTGGTGTCCTTTTTAAAGGACATTTTAAAAAGTGCACAGTCCCAGGTAAGACCACCAGCGCAGAAGAGGCAGAGGTAAGATGACAGCAGAAAAGTGGGCGGTTAGACCAGAGTGGGAGCATCAGGGACTAAGCCACAGTGGGCGGGGCAAGACAGACGCGGAGGTCAGGCCAAGAGCACCTCTGGAGGAGGACAGACCACAGTAAGAGGAACAGATTGATGTGTGGGGGGAAGGAGAGACCCCGAGTGAGGCGGGGACAGTGTTGAGTCCATGAGAAAAGTCTGGCATTGGACGGTGGCAAGAGACAGAGTGAAGAGGCCCCAGAGGAGGGATCAGAGCAAGTCACATGTGAAGGCTGGCTGGACTGAGGGAAAGGCAGAGGTTTAACTCCAGGGTAAAAGCTAAAGCTAGACCACAGGGGCAAGTGCTGGAAGTGAAATTCAAGAGCGTCGAGGGGAGGGAAGGGGCACATTGCAGCTCTAGGGCTGGAGTGGGGCACACAGAAGGAGGGGATGCTGGGGAGTAGGACACTTTGTGGGAGGGGTACAAACATAGCGGAGGGGGAGCCTCTTCTGCCCAGAGCTCACCCTCAGGCGCTGAGAGGCTGAACACAATCACCCGGGAGATGGGGCCATCCTGGAGGATCGTCCACGTCTGCAAAACCTCTGCATGGAGGGTGAGGACTCAGGGACCTGCCCTCAGTTCTGGGTATCCCGCCCTGGCCCTGCCCCTGCCATCACCTCGACTCCGCTGGTCCACGTGGGCGACACGGACGTAACCACTCTGACAGCCGAGAGCTGAGAGTCGCCGGGACGTGCCGGGCAGGTTGTGCACGTCAAGCCAGAGGACGCTGGGGGTGGACGGGGGGACAGAGGGGGCCGGAGGACCATCACCAGGTCCCAGCTCCCACCTCCACCTCCCGAGGAGCATTCCCAAGTCCTGGCAGCCCCGGGCCCCCAGTGGGCCTGATTTCTCAAGGGGTTGTGTCCCACCACCTGATGTCTCTGAGGCTGCCTGCTCCATGCCCCCCCGGCCTCCTTCATGGGCTCTCCTACCTACTGGTCAGGTTCGTGAGCTCCGGGAAGAGGTTTTCCACAGGCTGTTCTTCAAACTGATGCAGCCCTTCGTTCTGGGGGAATCAAGACCCGCCACCCACTGGGAGTCAGCAGCCAGCCTCACTCCCCACCTTGCCCCAGTGCCAGCCCATAGTGGTCCCCCCACCGCCTCCCCCGCCTCACCTCCTTGTAGAGATGAATGGCTGGGTCATTCCCACTCAGGAGAAACACGGTCTCCAGTTGATCCCCAACCTGGACCCTGAAAGCAGAAAAATCTAGAACCCTGAGTGATGGAACATGAATGGAGTAGAGTCCCAGTGTTTGAGAACCCACGTCTTGGAAAAACACTTGCAACATTCTGGATTCCAGACACTGGATCCAGAGTTAGAATCTCAGGATGTAGAATTGTAGAAACTAGAATCACAAAATCACAGAACTCTAGAACTTTCCAACCTCGGAATCACAGAACTCTAGAACTTTCCAACCTCGGAATCACAGAACTCTAGAACTTTCTAACCTCGGAATCACAGAAACTTGGCGTGTTAGAACCTTCTATTTCCAGAGCCCTCACCTGGATGTGGATTCAGGAATGAGCACAGGGCTCTAGAATGGGCTGCAGGACCCCAGAACACTAGCACCTCTTTAACCTAGAACCCCAGGGTTCTAGAAGTCATTTTCTGTCTCCTTTGAAATACTAGAACTTTCAGAAATTGCCATAATGGATATTCAGACTTATAGAACTGGTAGAACACCCAGGTCGTATAATCCAGAACATTCGTGCTTTACAACCTTCGGTTTCCAGAACTCTCATCTGCTGGACCAGAGGTTGGCAATCTATGACCTGTAGGCCAAATCCAACCTACTTTGTAAATAAAGTTTTACTGGGACACAGCCACACTCATTCATTTACACAGTGGCCATGGCTGCCTTCTTGCTACAACGGCCAACTTGCAGTTGTTGCAGAGAATATCTGACCCTCAAGCCTAATTTGGGCCTACACAGAAAAAGTTTGCCAACTCCTGTGTGAGACCACTGGTGTTCTGGAATGGAATCCAGAGCTCCAGAATGGAATTCTTACGCTTTGGGATTCTAGAACACCAGTATTCTAGATGGTCTGTATTCTAACTCCTTAAAAGATGATAGTAATAGGACTTTGATAAAGAATTTCAGAATCATTAAACTGTAGAACTTCCAAATCTTGGAATCTCAGAACTTATAACTCCAGAAAAATTAGCACTTCTGGATCTTGGAACGCCCAAACCTAGAGCATTAGAACTTGAGAAGTCTAGACGTCTAGAACACTGATGCTCAGTTAACTCTCAGATTACCTAGTTTGGGGAAAACAAAATGGTAGCCCATCAGCCAAGGCTGACCCATGGCTACTTTAAATGCACAATACTCTAAAAAACAAACTAGTCTAACTGTCTACAGGCAGGTATGTGGTCTCCTGTTTGTTACAGCCTCTGCCCTCCCAATGTGCATGCACGCACACACACACACACACACACACACACTCCTAACTGTATCATGCTTGCGGCTTACTTACTCTGCATGGCACAGCTGGAAAGGAGTGAACTGGAGCTCCAGGTTCAGGCAGCTCTCTGCAGGGGGAGCACAAGCAGATAGACACAGGGGACCTGACAGGCACCCCCACCCCCACCCTCTGCCTTCTGCATCCCTCCTTCCCTCCAGACCACACTTACGGGCAATAGAGTCAAGGTTGTACTCAGAGCCAGGCTCGTAGTCACAGTAAATGTTAAGGAAGGGGCTGCCCTTGTCCCCTGAATCCTGGGAGAAGAAACTGGCCTCAGGGGACAGCAGGGACAGCAAGAGGGGTCTGGGTCAGACTCAGTAAGGAGGAGAAAATGGGTAGGTGGAGGGGGCTCCAGTTACCTTGATGAACGTGATTCCCACAACTAGGCCCCGCTTTGGGGGTGACTTGTTGAAGGTGTCGATGGAGACAATCTCCGCGTCCACTAGGAGAGGATAGTTCAAAGTTTGCGTTTCAGGCAGACTCATGACATCAATATTTCTAATCACGGTGATCTCTGACCTTTAGGAATCAGTAATCTCTGATCACCACAAATTATGATCTCTGGGTCCGAGTGAGTCCTGATCACCTTCACCATGGTAGGAGGGATCCTGGTTTCTGAGTCTGAAGAATCCTGAACCCTAATACCGTAGGTCCCCATTATCCCTGTCCTCTGACACCAATGCCTTCCAATTATCAGCCTTGACTCCCTTCAATCACCATCACCCTGATCCCATCACGGTGACCCGGCTCAGATAGTCTCAGAAGCCTTCTCAACACTTATATCTAGGCCCCCCAGCCCAATGGCGCCACGCACCGGGAATGTAATTGAACTGTAGTTCCTTGGCCACGGGCCGGATTTTCTGTCGGAGGTCTTGGTAGCGGAAGCCTAGCACCTTGCCTTTAAGGGTGGCGGCCAGCAGCTCCCCGCGCCCGCCTGCGCCGCCCGCCAGCCCGTACACATTGCTCTGCGACGAAAAGCGTGTGAAGCTGTCTTCCCGCAGCGGGCAAGGGCCCGCGGCCACGGCCGCCTCTCCCATCACGCCTCTCAGCCACTCACCCGCATAGTCCCCGCCGCGGCCCGCCCTACCCCACCGCTCCCGAAGCGACCGGGATCACCCGGCGCCCACTGGTGGCGCAGACTGATTACGTAAGAAGCTGCCGTCGTTGCCCTTTACCAAGATGGCTGCCAACCCGGCTGCTTGAGCTTCCCACCAGGCTTTGCCCCAACGCGCCTGCGCGCTCCTCCTTGTTCCTTTTCAGGGCCGAGGTGGTTGCCACTAGGAGATTGGACCTGAAGATGGGAAGTGGTGGCCCTTGCTGTGGGCTGTACGGAAGGCAGAAAAAGGACCATAAAACTCGATATAGCCCTTAGTACCAAGAGCTGTTCTACGCGCTTTCCCTCTGTCAGTTTACTTAAACTCACAGCAGGATGGGATAGGTACTACATGTTTTACCGATGAAGAATTTGAGGTGTAGACGGGTAATTTGTCTAAGATCACATGGCTAGAAGCAGCAGTCAGTATTGGATCCCAAACAGGATAGCTCTATAGTTTTCTTTACATCACCTATAAAATGGTGAAATGCATTTTCTTACCCCAAGGAAAAAAAGATCTAGCTATCTGTCCTGACATATAACCACCACCTCCTACATGATGCCAGTCATGTTGGCTGATTATCTCATTGAATCCTCACAACTACTTTGTTCTAGTTACCCTTCATTTATTTAGCATTTATTTGAGCACTTACTATGTGCAAAGACATCCTGGACAAATTTCTTTCCATAACTCTTGTAACAAATCTGGAAAGAGGTTTACTTTACCAATTTATAGAGAATGAAACTGAAGCTGGAGGAGAATAAGTCCCTTGACTGTTAGGTTAGTAAGTGGTGGAGACAGGATGTAAACAAGGTCTTTCTGGTTCTGAGTTCTTCTGGGATTGCAGTATGTGCTTTTTTTTGTCCCTAGGAGGGCATCAGGCAACTCTGTGTATGCCTGTATGTTATTTCCAGAAGATATGAGTTGGCCAGCTGTCCTGGCCACATTGAGTAATCTTCTGTCATCCCCTTCCAGGCAGAAAGAACAAACACACACACGTGCACACACAGACTGCAAGACCCGTGAAGGCAGTGCCTGGATCTCCCTTGGTCACAGTCACATCCAACACCTGGACCACAAGTCCTGACATGGAGCAAGCATTTAGTAAATATGTTAAAAACCCCAAACTATGTACCAGGCCCTTTGCCAAGCACCCAGGACACTTCCGTAAGAGACAGGAGAGGAGAGTTCTCAAAAGCAGATTGGATCTGGAGGGTGGTGAAAAAAAGCAGCTTTATCGATTCCAGACCTGGCTATGCTGTTTAGTGCTGTAATTCCAGGGATTGGACCAGGGCAGGGCACACAGTAGGTGCTTAATAAACACTCGCTGAGTAACCAGGTGTAGGGCCTGGAGCTCCCACTTCTGAAGAATGTTTTCCTCAGGCTTCTTTTACCTCCCATGGTAACCACTAAACCACATTCCTCCATTGTTTGTTGAGCAAATAAACAACTGGATTTATAGGTTGGAAAGGAGAAAATTGTCCTGTTGAGTGGTTTCCAACCCTAGCTACACATTTGGATCACCTATGGAAATTTCAGAGGGAAAAATCCCCCAAAACTCAAAAAAGGGTGGGGAACCTCAATCAAACCACAGTTTATCACAGTGTGACCCAAGCTTGAACACTTCTAATATTAAGATTTTGAAGCACAGCCAGGGTTGAGAATCACCATTTAGGTCACGGACAGCAGAGACAAGTCTCACACTGCTCCTTCAGCCTGGGCCACAGCAGACGCTGGTAATCAATCTGAGGTCTCAAGACTCTTAATTGACCTCTAGGCAACCATCATCAATTGATTAGAGCTGCGGAAGAAGCTGAAGAGGACAGAGGAACAGGGCAGGGTGTCATACAGAGGCATCTCTCGACATGGTGACTTTGAACCTTTCCTGAACTTCTTCCAGGTTACAGGCTGGAGCAGCTCTCCCAGGGGCCTGCCCCAGTTTCCCAGGCAGCCCCTCCTCTGCGTTACTGCTGCCCTGTTCACTTCCTGACGTCATCCCATTGTACCGTGACACTGAGCCTGCCTCTGCACTGACCCTCCTCTGGCTGTCCCTGGGACTACATGCCTGTGTGGAGGTGGTGGGTGGTTCCTGCCCTCCTCTCTTGGGCACAGGGCTCCCGTCTTCTCTCCCACTCCCCACACCCACTCAGTCCTTGCACTTTGCCCACCAGAACCGCCGCCTCCTCTGTCCTGCAACAGATGGAACAGTGGGGCCTTCGGCCCACCTTCCGGGGAAACGTGGACACAGGGTGAGGCTGGGAGACCTGGTGGGCTGCCTCCTCCACCCATTTGTATCACAGTTGCTGCACCCATCCTCCCGCCAGCTCTGAGGTGGCATTGCCACCAACATCCCAGCCGAGGAGACCAAAGCCCACAGAGCCCAGAGCCCGACTCCCAAGCCTGAGGCCCCTTCCCAAACCCACCATCCCCAGCCCTCCCCTCCTCTAGGACCTCTGACCCAGCTCATTCTCCCAGTCAAGTTCGCATTCTGCATTCCCACAAAGCATGCCCAGAGCCCAGGGAGGGTAGGAATATGGGATTCAGGCTCTGAAGGGTGAAGAGGGTTAGGTGAGGAGGAAGAGAGACTCTTGCACAAATGCTGTCTTTTATTTCCTTCCCCGAGCCAGCTGCAGCTTCCGAGCAGCAACACCTCAAAGCACAGGGAGGAGACGGAGGGGTGAGGACAGGGACAACCCTCTGAGCTCCAGGGCCTGGGTCTATCCTGAGAGGTCAGGGCTGCAGGAGGCTGGGAGGCTCCGGTGCTGGGGGGAGGGGCAAGGGGAGGCAGGAGGAGCCCACCCCCAGCAGTGAGAGCAAATCATGGGGCTACATGGACTCCGAGCTCAGCCGGAGAACAAAAGTGGAGAGACAGACACCAACCTTGTGACTCAGCTGGATGGGAGCTGTGGGGGACAGGTGCTGACCCCGACCCTGGCAGCGCCCGCAGCAAGTAGGTCTGTGTCGAAGATTCTGTGTTTTAGGGTGGGGAAGGGCACCTCTGGGGACTTAAATAAAGGCGCAGGGGGTGAGGGATGCAGCGAGAACAGAGGGTGACTGTCTGGCCAGCGGGCCCGGCTGCAGGGCCTGCCGAAGCAGTGCTGAGCCCACACTGTGGCCTGCGAGCCTCCAGGGTGGGTGGGAAGGAGGGAAGGTCACACAGCCCAAGTCTGGGACTCCGCCTCTCTCCGGGCTCACACCGTGATCCTCGCTGGAGGGTCTGGCCGGGGAACAGCGGGCGGAGGGGCAGGAAGACAGGTGCCAGGGGGCTGGGCGGGCTTAGCGCAGGTCCTCCTCGTCGCCCTGGATCGTCTTCTTGATGCGAAGCAGCATGGTGGTGAGCCACTGGTCCAGCCGGGAGATGGAGTCATACTCCTTCACCTGTGGCACCCCGGGCAGGGAAAGGAATCAGGGTGGGCGGCCCACCCCACGCCTGGCCTTAGCTCCCTCCCTGTCCCTGGTCTTAGCCTCCAGTCTCTGGTCCTGGGACCCTCGAGATGGGCCCCTGTCAGCCTTAGTTCCCCAGGAGCCGCACGGGGAGGCGCAGGTCCCGGCCCAAGCCAGAGCAGCTCCCTTCTGTGTCTGTACTGGCCTGGGCATAAGGCCTCTCCTGGGGAAAAAAAGATTTTGTAGCCTAAAAACAAAAGGTCCAGCTTTCTTGTTTTATGGACCAAACGGAGGCCTGGAGACATGAAGAAGGCCTGCACTGAGTGTCCCAGGAGGGGTCAGAGAGAAAGTCACACCCTACTGGGCCTACTATCCCTTCTCCTGAGCTCCCTGGCTGAGCTTCCCAACAGCTGCCCACTGCCTGCTGTCTGGGGCAGGACGGACTGGGGGAGTTTGGTCTCTGTCATCATTTAGGGGCCTCTGGCTGCTAAGGGGCACTCAGGGGGAGACACACTCGACGGGTAGTCTAGAGGACCTGATGAGGACCTGAGCTGCTCACAGCTGAGTTCCAGGATGCTCAGGACAGATTGAGGAAAGGGGGAGACATCTCTGAGGGGCAGTTCTAGCAGGGACGTGGGAGCTGGGAGGGTGGGCCCTCCCGATGTTGCCTCTCCTGCACCCCTCGCTCCTATTCCCTCCTGCTTCCAGGCAGGGGGGAGAGGGGAGGACATGACTCATTCCCTCCCTCTCTGCACCTCCTGGGTCACCCAAAGTGCCCAGTGTGAGACAGCCTTCAACTGCTCACCCGGGGCAGACTCTGAGTGGTGCAAAGATCTTGGCCTTCAGGAGCAGGAAGATGTGGGTTGGAATCCCAGCTCTGTTCCCAAGAGGCCTGACCTCTCTCAATGGTGAGAACACTCCCAGCACCTCTTGGGGCTACTCGTGAGGGTTCTGGGGTGACTGGAGAATGGGATTCATAGCCAGGACCCAGGGCCAGAGATTAAAAAAAAAGGTGAAATTGATGGGACCATATCTGACAAGAGCAGCCACTCCTCCACCCCTGGGGCCACTCACCGCCTCGGTGTAGCTGTCCACGTTCTGCTCCTCATGGGCTTCTAACAATTTCTGCAAGAAAATGGCAGGCAGGGGTCAGGGGCCCAGGCTGGCCTGAGGGCTGGCCTGGATGAGACCCTCCACCACACACTGTCTGGGGGTGAAAGTTGGGGGGACTCCCACGCTGCCAGGAAGGAAGGGGCTATATTCCCATCCTGCCCTCTGCGTCAGAAGTCGCTCAACGTCACTAATATGGAATATCACGCGCGCACGCGCACGCCTACATGCACGTGAGACCATGTGCCTCCCAGCTCTGCCTGTGGGTCCATCATTGCCTAGATCTTACTGGTCTCCTCCAGAAAACTGAGAGTCAAAGGGCAGACAGGGCGGAGGAGGCCCCTGAGAAGCACTCAAATCGCAGGGATTGTGCTGATTGGAGCCCGAGCCCCCAGGCTCCCCATCCACACTCCCTGCCCCAGGCTCAGAGGCAGGAAGGGGGCAGCCGGGGCCCCCGGCACTCACTTTCATCAGCTTGCACTCCCGGGAATCAGAGAACGCGGGGAACAGCTCCTCGTACTTCTGGACAGCGAGCTGAAGGTGGAGGGCAGGAAGAAGCGGACAAGCTGATAAACAACGGCCTTTGGAGCAGTGGGCCCGGCAGCCGAGGAGATATGGGGCCACTTGGGCCAAGTCAGCTCTCTGCGCCCCTATCTCAGCCTCCAGCGTCACCTGGCTCTGTGCCTGGTGGCCGCTCCATACAGCCGAGCTCAGCATGAGCCTGGCTGCAGAGACAGAGGCGGGGGACGGGGGACGGGGGGAGGGTGCCCGAGGCCGGTGCTCAGTCCTCTTCCCATGCCCGGCCCACCCAGGGTAGGGGCGACAACTGCCTCCTGTGAGTACGTCCTAGACACCAGGCCCGATGCCCGACACTTCTCACATTCAACCCTCATGAGGACCCGGGGGAATCAAAATGGTGACCACATTTTGAAAGTGGGAGTCACATCCAGAGAGGGCAGTGATCCACTCAGGGCACAGGGTAAGTGGTGGGGATCTGAACCGGCCTAACACCAAAGCCTAAGATCTTACCAGCCCTGCCAGGGAAGGAAGCCAGGAGTTGGGCTCAGGTGTGCCGCGATCCCAGGAAATCCCAGATGCTGGCAGAATCCAGCTCCTCTCCCCTCCGCCATTCCCAAACTCCTGCCTAGCACTGACCCCTCTCTTGCTAAGAAGCCCTGGGAACGGGTGGGGCTGGCATGCAGGCTATGGTTCACACCATGACACCAGGAGTCAGAAAGATCTGGAATCTTGGGGCTGTAGTCTACTAGCCACGTGGCTTTGAACAAGAGACTCTGGTCTCAGCCACAGTGTCTTCATCTGTAAAATGGGGCGACCGTGGTGCCAACCTCACAGAGTGCAGTAAGGGCTCAAAAAGTGCTCCTACAAGAGAAAAAGCCTGGCCCTGAGTGAGCCGGGAGCTGGAAACTCAAAAGGCCACAGGGACGGGGCAGGTAGTATCAGGGATATCATTTCGTGCCCAGAGGCTGACTGCTGGGGGCCAGACATGAAGGGTTCGCCCCTTTTAAGCAGCTGAGAAGTGACCTGGCCTAGTGACAGACATGGGACTCCAGGAGTGGTTGGTCACCCCGTGGCGGGGTGGGGGGGGTCAACCGCAGGGCCTGCGCTCACCTTGGCATTGAGCATGTCAATGCAGAAGTGGCAGAGGGCTGCCTTGAAGAAGTAGTCCTTGGCGCTGTACTTGAGGAGGGGGCTGTCCATGGCATTGGTCCCCACCTGCGGGCACCCGGAGGGCCAGGGTCACTGCCAGGCACTTGGGGGACAGCTGGGAGCTGGGTCCGTGCCCCATTGAGGCCCTGTGAACCCAGGACCCCAAGGACAGGGAGACCAGAGACCAGCCCTGGGGAAGTCAGTAACTGGGATGTGACTGAGGACAAGGCATGATGCAGGAGTTGCTGCAGGGCTGAGGCCAGGTGTCCGTGGGCTTCTCCAGAGGCCCAAGATGGTGGAGGGTGAGGTTGCCCTGCTGTCAGGCCCAACAGGAGGCTGGCACATCAGTCAGCAGAGGGGCGGCAGGGGCGGCAACATGAGAGGCGGTGCCTGCCCCACTCTCCTCTGAGGCCAGCTGCCTGCCTTTCTCCAGGCCAGGCTGAACCCACCAGGACAGCCCACCCTGCCCCGCCCGGCAGAGGGGAGCCCGCGCACCCCTGTGATGCTGCCCCTACCCACGGGCTCCTCAGCTGCCTTGGGCTACCTCTCGCAATTCTCTCCCTGACTCTGGCTCTGTAGGCCTCACTCCAGGGCCACTGGCCACCGGGAAGCTCTCTGTGAGGAGTGTGGGAAGGGCCTGTCTAGGGAGACGGTGATGACACGGCATGGGGTCGTGGGTGGAGAAAGCTCGTATAGCCAGGCTGAGTACTCTGTGAGAGTGCAGGGGGGATGATGTCAGGGGATGACCTGGGGGAGGGGATGAACACAGGAAGTGCAGAGAAAGGGGGAGGGATGGAAAGGGCGGGAGACAGGGAGAGGGGGTGCTGGCAGGCAGGCTGGGGCTGGAGCCCCGCCTGCCCCCTACCTGTTCGTAGATGTCGATGGCCTTCTGGTACTGCTCCAGCTGCGCGGCGTAACCAGCCACCTTCAGCAGACACTTGTTGGCCGAGCTGTATGGGGCAGGGGGAGAGGAGGGAGGTCAGTGATGGTAGTCGAGTCTGGGTCCGGGGCGTTTGCTGAGGGGCTGGGGTGGACAGGAGGGGACCTGTGCCCGGGGTACCTGTTGGATTCCTCGCCTTTGTAGTAGTCTGCAGACTGCTCGTAGTGGGCGATGGCCTGGGGAGACGGGAGGGAGGAGCCAATGCCACCTTCGCCCAGCCTGGCCTGGGGCTCAGCCAAAGCCCTTTTCCCAAGCTCTGCCATGGTACCCCCCGATCCTGTCCTGGTGCGCAGACACCAGAGGACTGGCCACTGCAGCCTTCCCCTGCTGTTGGCCAGGCTGGGTCCCCAACTGCCACCTACCTTCTCGATGTCCACCAGCTCCGTCTCATAGATCTCGGCAATGGAGATGTGGTGCTTGGCTGCGATCGTGAATCGGCCCTGGGTAAGACAAGGGAAGGGGCCGTCAGTGATGAGTGATATCCTGAGAGCCCCACCCCAGCTCGACCAGGCCCTTCCAGGTCCCCAAAGCTGGATTCTCATCCCTCAGCCGCACCTGTAAGGGGAGGTGTGCAGAAGGGGACTCCGAGAAGCAGAGGGGCACAGGGTCTAAAGTGGGAGGCTCTAGCATGAGAGGCCTGGGTCTGAGTGCTGCCCCGACTGGGTGGCCTTGGGCAAGTCATCCCACATCCAGCGTCAATGCAGGCACAGGTAGACGGGGCAATACCAGAGATGATGGGTGCAGAGGGACCTGGCAGAGGCCCTGCTGCACCTGACAGATGGTCCAGGGAGGTGGACGGACCAGCCCAGAGTCACCTGGTCAAAGCTCTGGAGAAACCAGGGCCAAGGGCCCTACTGCCCAAGGGACAGCCTCCCTCTCCTCCTCCCCATCCCTGTGTGGCCACACACTCCTCACAGGCCAACACCCACTCCCCTCCAGCTTCCCCTGCAGACACCCAGAGCTTTCCCCAAGGAGGCCTCCAGCTCTCAGAGGGGCTGAGCCCCTCCTACCCGTCTCTACCAGCAGGGATCGAGGTGCCGGGGCTGCCACTCTGCACACAGGGGCTGGTCCGAGGCCACCTCTTGCAAAGGGCAGCAGGAAAGGGCAAGGCCCTGGGCTCAGCCAGGAAAACTTTCAGGTCTCAGTGACTCCTGCTTATAGGCACATGTTCCTGAGCAAGCCACATCTCATCTGGGATCCCCTTTCCTGACTGTTGGACAGTATAACGAAGTGCCCACATGACAGGGCAGAGCACAGCACTCAGACACTGAGAGGATGCAGTCCGGCACTGTGTTCCTGTCGGAGGGAGGGGTCTGATGTGACAGAGACAGAGATGAAAAGGCAAAAAGTGGGGTCGACAGGAGCCAGGGTCTGGTTTTGGTCCACTGTCTTGGCTCCCTGGCCTCAGACTAGCAGCC